TAACGTTTTGTCTTCCTAATGTAAACATGATCGGTTCCGGTTGTTGAACCTTTGGAAGCTTTCCAAGCTTCATTCTGTGTTCTTTGTTCTGTTACGAACATCTTAGAACAGAACAGTTCGGAGATGATACTTCTGAGTTTATGCTCCAGAGTAGACTTACATGTAACCTTACAACCAAACCAGCAATCAAGGGCAGTCTGTTCAGTTTACATAGGACACACTTCTTTTCTTTTTTCTTTCTTTTTCTTCTTCTTCTGTTTTTTTTTTTTTTTTTTTTTTTTTTTTTTTTTTTTTTTTTTTAGTGTCAGAGGGTACCTGTGCTTGCCAGAGAGAGAGACAGACAGACAGAAAGAGAGAGAAGGAAAGAGAAATCCTCCCTTCCCCAAAGGGGCATGGTCACACCATTCTTCCTTCTCCATTTCTCTATCCTATTAGATTTTGGACACGCATGGATACATCAGCGTGTTTTCAAGCAGCTGGAGCCAGGACTTGAACCACAATTGGCCATGTGAGAGTCACCTTCTTTAACTACTAGGCTAGCCCAGGACATTCACCTTTTTTTTTTTTTGAGAGTTTTTTTGCTATAGGGTGCATGCACTCGCCAGAAAGATAGACAGAAAGGGAGAAATCACCCCCCAGGGGGGATGGCCACAGCGCAGTCCCTTCTCCTCCATTCTCCTCTTGGGATCTTGGGCACGCACGCACACGCGCCCGGCGTGAGTTTAAGCCACTGGCAACTTGGAACTCAGGCTGGACGTGTGTGCCTGTGTGTGACCATCCACTCTGGGAGGTGATTTCTCACTGTCTCTTTTGTCTCTTTCCTCTCCTGTAAGCGCATGTACCCTATGGTAAAACTTTTTGTTTTTTTAAGAATTATTTTTATTTAACTTTATTTATTTTTACTCATTTAAGAAATTTGACTAGAGAGGGACAGAGAGAGAAAGAGCAAGCAAATAAGCTGCCAGGGGTCTGGGACTCAAACCTGCTGGCCCTGACTGTGGCAAAAACTTTTTTTTTAAAGGTAGAGAGAGACAGATGGGACCAGCAGTTAGTGTAATGGCTATGTTGCTGGACTCCCATGTAGTCAACCACAGTTCGCGTCCCGGACTCGGTAGCTTAAAACTCATGCCAGGTGCGTGCGTGCCCAAGATCCTGAGAGGAGAATGGAGGAGAAGGGATTGAGGTGTGGCCATCCCCCCTGCGGGGTGTTTTCTCGCTTTCTGTCTGTCTGGCAAGTGCATGCACCCTATAGCAAAAACCTCTTAAAAAAAACCCAAAAACCCCCAGATTTTAAGCCACCGGGTCTGGGATTCGAACCATGGTTGACTACATGGGAGTCCAGTGACATAGCCAATACGCTAACTGCTGGTCCCATGGCAAAAACTTTTAAAGTTAAAGAAAAAAAAAATCTTGGGACCAGCAGCATAATGACTGTGTCGCTGGACTCCCATGTAGTCAACCGCGGTTCGCGTCCCGGACCCGGTGGCTTAAAACTCAGGCCGGGCGCGTGTGCGTGCGTGCCCAAGATCCCGAGAGGAGAATGGAGGAGAAGGGATTGTGGCGTGGCCATCCCCTCTGGGGGGTGATTTCTCGCTTTCTGTCTCTTTCTGTCTCTTTCTCTCTCTCTCTGTCTGGCGAGCACACGTGCCCTATGGCAAAAACCTCCCCCCCCCAAAAAAAAAAAAAATCTCAAAACTGAAGGGAATTCTAAAGCAGTCCCAATCTGTATCTCTTTTCCTGGGGTAAAAAAGGGAGAGGGAGAGGAGAAAGAAATACTAATTGAAACCTACAAGGTGAGGATTAATATTTTGTAGCAATGGAGTATTTATCAACTTTGTAGTTGTGACTCTTCACAAGGGCTATTTTAGATATTGGCTGCTACAATAAAATCATTAAGGTAATGTCTTTGAGTCACCAAGGCGACGGTTACCTTCAGTTCTGTTTATTGTCGGCTGTCCACCCGGCCTCACAGGTTATAAGGGATGCAGGAATTCTTACAGACAAGTCAACTTGGAAGTTCTGTCTTAGTATGTGAGCAGTGCTTTAGTGCCCGGTCGCTGCCAGCTGCTGATGCAGCGGCTTCTGTGTACTAACTCAGTCTCTTTATCCTCCTTTATAGCTGAAAACACAGGGGCATAGAAAGATTAAGAAACTTAAGCCACACTGCTAGCGAGTGGTGGAGCTGGAGTGCAAACCCGGAAATCTGGCTCCCATTAGCCTCTGCTGTGTCTACCAAAGGCATTTATATAGACTCCCTTTTAGTGGCAAGGGGTTAGTTCTTTTGTTTCCAAGTCTCATTACATACTTACCGAGGACCGGTCTGTGCCAGGACTAGCATGGTCTCTGCTCTTACGGAATTTACAGACTAGTCGGGAGTCTGTCAGTCAATCAATGTCTCATAAAATTTCAGACAGCGATAATTCCTATAAAGAAAATGAAGCCAAAGGAAGAAGGGGCTAGGGAGGATGGGGGGACGCAGGGATATTTTTAGATTTTATGGGCTAAGAAGACCTCTCTGGGTAGGTGTCGTTTGAGTCTAAACCTATTTGAAGAGAAGAACTAGCTACAGAGACATCTAGAGAGGGAGGGAGGGAGATTGAGATTAAGATTGAGATTGAGATTGATTTCCGGGTGAAGGGAACAGCAGTTTCAAAGGCTTGATGTCAAAATGAGGCTGGGCGGTGCAAGGCCAGAGTGAAGACCAGCATGTCATTGGGTGGACGTCGGGGAGAGTGTTGGTAATGAGGTCAGAGTGAAGGTGAAGACCAGGTCATATTGGCCCTTGTGGGTTATAGAAAGGAGTTTGAATTTTCTTCTGAATGTCATGGGATGTCTTTGAGAACTTTGAGCAAGAGAGTGACATGTTTTGATTTATATATATATATTTTAAATTTTGCTGCAGGGTCCACACACTTGCTGGAGAGAGAGAGAAAGTGAGAAAGAACCCTCAAGGAAGGTGACAGTACCACAATCTCATCTTTCTTGGGTGTTTGGGCATGAACGCACATGTGTCTGATGTGTTTTTCAGGCTGCCGGGTCTGGACCTTGAACCATAGGTTAGTTGTGTGTGATCCAACTGCCTTAACCACCATGCCAGCTGGCTTAGCGGTTTACATTTTTTTTTTTTTTTAAGAGAGATTTTTGCTATAGGGTGTGTGAACTTGCCAGAGAGACAGAGACACAGAGTCAGAGAGACAGAAAGCAAGAAGTCATTCCCCAGAGGGGATGGTCACGCTGCAGTCCCTTCTCCGTCTTTCTCCTCTTGGGATTTTGGGCATGCATGTGCATATGCCCGGTATGATCTTTAAGTCGCCAAGTCTGGGACTCTTAACAGTGGAGGCAGCAATGTGAGACCAGGCCACCTTAACCTCCACACTACCTGCTGGCCCCACATTCTCCCTTTTAAAAATATTTTTATTGTGGAAAATTTTGAACATACATTAAGAGCAGAGAATTGTGTAATGAACATGCAGGTACCAGCTTCAACAATGATCAACTCTTAGGCATCTTTTTTGCTTTTTTGTAATAGGGCATGTGCACTCACCAGAGAGACAGAAAGTGAGAAATCACCCCCCAGGGGGAATGGCCATGCCATAATCCCTTCTCCTCTATTCTCCTCCCGGGATCTTGGGCACGCATGCACATGCACCCGGCATGAGTTTAAGCCACCAGGTCTGGGACTTGAACTTCAGTTGACAACATGGGAGTCCAGCGACATAGCCATCATGCCAACTGCTGGTTCCAACTCTTAGGCATCCTGAATTATTTATACTTCTTCCTACCCTATCCTTAGTTATTTTGAAGCAAATACCAGACATCTTATTATTTCATCCATAAATATTTTCATATATACTATATTTCTAAAAGCCAAAGACTTTCTAAAAATCATACTTCCATTATCATACCAAATGTTTATTTCATATCAGTTTTTAACCGATCGCTATTCAGATTTTTCTAAATATCTCAAAAGTCTTTTCCTTTATCCGTTTCGTTTTGAGGCAGTTGGATGACAGATCTCTGAAGTGTTCTATCTGTAGGTGCTCCTCCCATCTCCAGCTCTTTTTTCCTTGTGATTGGTTTATTGGAGAAGCTGAGTCTGATTCTCTTTAGTTTTACAAAGTGTGGATTTTGCTCACTGCATCCTCCTCGTATTGTTGAATGCATCCCTCCATTCTCTATTGCTTCTAAAACTTGGTGGCGTGTGGTGTGTTTGGGATTCAGATTCAATTTTTTGGCAAGAATACATCATACGTTAAGTAGGTGCGACCGTCTTTCAGGAAGCACATGACATTTAATTATCTCCTTGTGATGGTTGATTGAATTTATGAATGTGTTGAATTTTTTTTTTTTTTTTTTGAGAGAGATTTTTTGCTATAGGCCATGTGCACTCACTGGAGAGAAGAAAGTGAGAAATCACCCCCCCGGGGGGATGGCCACACCACAGTTCCTTTTCCTCCATTCTCCTCTTGGAATTTTGGGCATGCATTCGCATATGCCTGGTGTGAATTTCAAGCCTCTGGTCTGGGATGTGAACTGTGGTGGGCCATGTGGGAGTCTAGTACCTTAACCACTATGCCACCTGCTGGCCCCTAAATATGTTAATACGTTTAGTATTTAAGACAGCTCAGGCGTCTAACTGTTTAGCTGGGGCTAGGTGGTGGTGGTCTTGCGAATGTGGGAAGAACAGATGGTGCGCTCACAGAAGCCCGTTTCCCGTGAGGTCTGTGATGGTGGGCCGTTGCGTTCTCTGTCCCCGAGTTTTTGCTTGGATTGGTTCCTTTGGTGCTTCCTGAGAGAGGACTCTGGTACAGGACATGCCATCCTTGGTTTCTCTTGATCGTAAGAGATCTGGTCCGCTAAGAAACACTGAGTAAGGCCTTCTGAGGGTTGGTGTTGTACTTCAGAGGTGTTTGTTGTTTTGGCTAAACCAGCGACTTTTGCTGACAGCCTCCAGGCGGATGTTTGACTTGATATGTAAAGTGACTCTTTCCTGCTTTCAGGATCTCATTTTGCCCAACGGCGGTACCCCAGCAGGCACTTCAAGTCCGGCTTCTTCGTCCTCCCTGCTCAACAGACTTCAACTTGATGACGACATGGATGGCGAGACCAGAGATCTCTTTGTCACTGTCGACGACCCGAAGAAGCACGTGTGTACTATGGAGACCTACATCACGTACAGGATCACCACCAAAGTAGGTCCCTGCGTTGTTTTCTGCCTGTGGTGGATGGTTTTGGGGAGTTGGGGCTCCGCTCTTGGTGGTCTCTGCCTCTGCTCTCTTCCTCTCTGTGTACAACGGCTCGCTTCTGTCACCGTGGGGGCTGTGGCTTTTTGAGAGAGTGGGTGAATTCAGATGAAAAGATTGATACATGATAGTTCTTTTTAAAATGTACTATAGGGCATGTGTGCTTGCCAAAGAGAGAGAGAGAGAGAGAGAAAGAGGGGGCGGGGAAGCAGGAAGCATCCTCAGAGAGGGACGACCACACTGCATCTCCTTCTCCGCCATTCTCCTCCCGGGACTGTGGCCGTGCGTGCCCACACACCTGGCATGATTTTCCAAGCTGCTGAGTCTAGGACTTGAGCTGCCTAGTCGGCCGTGTGGAATCCAACCCCTTTTACCACCACGCCATCTGGCCGGGTCTCTGTATGATAGTGGTCATTTTTTTTTTTTTTGAAGAGAGAGAGAAATTATATCTAAGCTTTTCAAATAAATGTTTAATCTCTGTGCTTGCACTTATTTTCTGATGATATTATTTAATATTTAATATAATATTATTTAATGTGATATTTAATTAATATCTTCTTGCTCTTTTTGTCCCCCCCCCTTTTTTTTTTTTTTTAAGATTTTTGCCATAGGTCACGTGCACTTGCAGGAGACAGTGACAGTGAGAGGGAAAGTGAGAAATCACGCCCCCTGGGGGATGGCTATGCCACAGTCCCTTTTCTTCCATTCTACTCCTGGAGTTTTGAGCAGACATGGACACATGCCCAGTGTGATTTTCAAGCTGCCGTGTCTGGGTTTTAAACTGTGATCAGCCATGTGGGAATCCAGCCTATTAAACACCACGCCACCTGCTGGTCCCCTATCATATTACTCTTAAAATTTGTGATTTCGTAACATCAACCTAAGTCACCGTGATGAGATTATAATTCTACATAATTTGACCTAATTAGGGTTGATGATAGCTGGGGTTGGGAGAAGGAGTAACAGAAGGACAGGGAGTAATATCTACTGACTTGTGCTATGTGGTAGTGGTAGATGTCATCTATTAATTCTCATGGCAGTCCTAAAACTGTTTATGTTTTAGTTTAATTTTTGCAGGTGAGAAAATAGGAAAAGTTGAAGTAACTTGTTTAAGATGATAAAGTTGATAACTGGGATTCTAACTTGAATTTATAAGACTATAAAGCCTACATTTTTATTTTTAAACATATGCTTTTACATAATTTCACTTAGGAAAATAAGTAATTTGGGGTCCGCCAGTGATGTGGGGAAAGTGGCTGCATCCCACATAGCTGAGTGCGTGGTCTAAGTTATAGACCTGGTGGCTTGAAAATATGGATTGAGTTGTGGCCATCCCCTTTGAAGGGCGCTTTCTCACTTTCTCTGTCGCTCTCAGGTAAGCACATGCTCCCTACAGCAAATTAAAAATAATAAATTTAGGGACCAGCAGTTAGCGTAATGGCTATGTCGCTGGACTCCCACGTAGTTGACCGCAGTTTGCGTCCCGGACCGGGTGACTTAAAACTCACGCCGGCCGCGTGTGCGTGCGTGCCCAAGATCCCGAGAGGAGAATGGAGGAGAAGGGATTGCGGCGTGGCCATCCCCCCTGGGGGGTGATTTCTCGCTTTCTGTCTCTCTGTCTCTCTCTGTCTGGCGAGCTCACACGCCCTATAGCGAAAACCTCTCCAAAATAAATAAATAAATAAATGTAATGCATTATTTGTTATTTTTTAAAATTATTTTTTGTAATTAAAATTTTTTATTTTTGCTCGAGGGTGTGTGCCCTCACTAGAGAGAGACAGAGAAGAAAAGGAAAAAGCACTTCCCCTGGGAAATGGTCACACCACAGCCCCTTCTCCTTTTCGCCCTACTTTTGGGACTTTGGGTACACATGCACACACACCTGCTTGGCATGTTTGTTAAGCTGATGGGTCTGGGATTTGAACTGCAGAGTCGGCCATGTGGGATCCAGTTCCTTAGCCACAGGCCACAGGCTGTCTCATTTGGAATAGCTGTAACAGTACCACATTTTTAAGATTTGAGCAGGATCTCTCAGTCTTGTCAATATCGACATTTTTGGAACTGAATAATTTTTCGTGGTGGGGGCTGTCCTGTTATAGGGTATTCTCAGTTTCTCTGGCCTCTGCCCCTGGAATAGCATAGCATAGTACCCTTCCCTAGTCCCTAGTCATGACAACCAAGATGTTCCCAGACATGGCAAAGCTTCCCTCAGCAAAACTGTGCTACTGTTGAAAACCACTGATCTAGAGGAAGAGTCACAATAGCTGCTTTATTTGGGAGAAAATTTACATCATCACCTAGTATTTTTTTTTTTTTTTTTTTTTTTTTGGGGGAGGCTTTTTCTTTTG